GTTAAAAACATATCACCTAAATAAATTGAAATTTTAATTATCTAACTTTTTATTAGCTTGTCAATTCACTTAGACCTAGGTCTTTCCTCTCTTTTTAAAGATTATATAGAGATAAGTATATTTTTAGACTAAGAAAATATATAGACATGGACAGGAAAAACAATTTAAAAAAATTACACTGCTAAAAAGCCTCAAAAATTGCACCTTCACTAATAAAACATACACACAATCTAAAACTTTTATATGCACAAACATATATACAGCAAAATCTACAACCAAATCCCCTGTTTATTTATTTTTTTTGTTTTAGGCACCAAGTGTTTAAGTAAAAAATAAAAATTATATGTTAGAGCGCCAAACTATGTATTATAAAAAATTGAAATCATATTAACTACAAATCGTTCCTTTTTATGATTCGAGAGAGGGAAGGTAAGCTAACCAACTTTTAATCTTTAGGATCACAAACCTTCAAGTAGACCACAACAAAATGTGTAATTATTTTATAAAAGGATCAAAAATAATGTTTACATGTGAGTGAGTGCAGTATGGATCAGGGCGGCTCTACAGCTTTGCAAAAAAAAACAATCCCCTTGGGCCCCTAAATTTGAGGGGCCTCATTTTTTTAAAAAAATAATAGGTTATAAGTCTTTTTTAAAAAAAAATAGTATTGAGTATTATTTGTAGAAAATAATTTTTTTTATATAAAAGAGTAAAGAAGTAATAGAAGTTTGACAAATTATGAATACTATGTCTCAAGAAAAAATCATGACTATAGTAAACTTTATAAAAATATATATTCAAATTTAAGGCCTCCATTTGAATTTGACTTTAGGCCACCAATTTACTAGAGTCGCTCCTGGTCTGGATGATGCTGTGGCTAGAGCTTTTTGAGATGTATTTATAGGCAAAGATTAGGGTTATAGTTCAATGATAGGGCAGGATCGATCTTTTCAAAATAGAATCAAAAGATCCGTTTGAAATTGATAGTTGGAAGCCTTACAATATATGACAACGAAATCAAAATTTTAAAGCTAAAATGACAAGGAAAGAAATCAAAATTGAAAGGAGAAAAGATATACACTTTATTTGGTACGTACATTACACTTCGTGTCCTACGTATACCATAAAACACATGCATATACGAAGACAAAGGAGATTTAAAGCAGACAAGACAAAGGAGATTTAAAGTCTGTAAAATTTTTAACAGTCATTATGCTATGGGTACAAGAGATTTGTTGGCTCTGCTAACATAGAGTTGAGTGAGATTCCTTACTCAGAGAATAAATTTCATGCCTAACTTAAAGCATATATGTCGTTGTTCAATCTCTTTCAGGATCTAATAATTTTGGAGGATGTAAAATGTATAGAAAGTGCATATTGTAGTTTTTAGTGCAGTAAAAAGAAAGCATTGAGACTTGTCAAAAAGGAAAACATAAGAAAAAACTCGAACACTTTAAAGATTTCAATAGTTAATAGCATATGCATATACGACCATTAATTTTGATATTTTTGCTTTGCAGGTTTGACTTAGAGCCTCTACTTTCTTACTGTCTTGTTGTTTCTGTTTTCTTTAAGCTGAGGTCATTCAAAAACAACCTCTCTACCTTACAAGATAGCGGTAAGATTTTGCGCACATTTTACTCCCCTCAAGCTTTACTTGTGGACCTACTGAATATGTTGCTGTTGTATTAGATAACTAAGGTGTATGTGGCCATAAAAATGCAACAACAAAGCATCTAGATGATGAAGGTGTGGAGGTCTTACAAAATATATCATTTAGTGATGATAAATATGGATAGGGCCAATAATCAGTGATTACTTATGTAGTTAAGGATTTTACCAAATAAGAAGTTTAAGTTCTTTGGACATGGTGGTTTTGACATAAACTGATTAACTGGTTATTATGGGGGTAGGAAAGAGGAGTTTGGAGGGGGGGGGGAGGGATATAAGAGGGGGGGGGGGATATAATCATAGAATTCAATTTTATGAGGTAAATGATAGTTACAATACAACAAATTTATAACCTAGACAAATATTTTGTTTGATTGAATTTCACTTATGAAGAGAGCTTTTTGAGCAGCTCTTTTTGTATTTCGAAAGCCTATTATCTGAGATTTGATTTTTCATCACTGTAGTGAAGTATCTTGGTTAACAATATAATTTCCACCAAGTTGATGCCCTTATGATGTGACTGGAATGCATATTCTAAATATAAATCGTCTTATCTTTTAATCTACTTGCAATTAATGATCTTTTCTTGGTTACTATCCCAATCTTTATTTTTCTTTCAGACTTTACTGATTTTCGTTGGAAATGTATCATCATTCAATGTCTAGTGTACAGTATTAAAATTTATGATTGACTTTCTTTTACTGTCCTTAAATTTTCTATTGTTCTTTATGAGCATTGGCTCCATCCACCAAGTAATCATGGATACTTTGAGAGGGTAAGTTAAATGAAATTGATTGTTTAATTAAAATGCAGGTTGAGTAAAACTACGCTATAATTTCTCCTCTCACAATTTTCATCTTTCTTCATCTGAAGTATTGCCTTCGATCTTCTTTGACAGAAAAGACAAAGTACGAAGGATGGTCAATCGTAAAATTACTTTTGATGGTATAGCAAATCATGACAACTAAAAGGAGTAGTGTACATTGTAGAACTTAATTGTATGTTCTCTGATGTGTAACTTTTACATTGCATGTACAAATTTTGAAGAATATACAAGCTTTCTGAAAAAAGAAGTGGGAAGTGAGCCGAGAAGCTTTGAAGGACAATAGAAAATTTATGTGAAAAAATTGTCATATATGACTTCTGCTTGTTTCAATATGATATATATGAGTTATGAATTCTACTTGCTTCAATCATATCGGAAATTTTCTTTACATTTTTTATGTACTACTTTAATCTTTTTTCTACTCTTTATTGATATTTTTCATTGTTCATTGACTAAAATATTAGGCCCGTGCTAGTGAATTTGATTCCGTGAGACTGCTTTCATTTGGCGTTTTCTTCCTTTTGTGTAAAGAGATGAAACAATGTACTGTTTGTCTTGAACTTGATTGTCCAAGTTCAAATTTATTAGTCATTATTGGTGTAGTTTTGTTTTGGATATATGCAATGCCTATATTACTTGGGAAGGCATTTTTCCGTGTAAATTAAGTACTTATACGACCTACTTTTATATTAAAATAGTTATGTCTTTATGTTGTTGTTTTTTTGACAACTTCATCCGTTTTTACATCAAATGACTGCAAAGCAAACATTACTTTAAAATATTAAATATTGGGTCCGTGTTTGGCACGGGCCATACCCTTCTAGTATGTATATATATATATATATATATATATATATAGTAGTGTA